ACAGCTCTCGTTGGTTTTGTTTACGATTTGAGATCGTGGACGTTCGGTCAATCGTGGACGTATTGTTTGCGCCCCAATTCTTTTGTCCTACGTCCACGATTGTCGGTGTTTACATACTCACACACACCCACCCACCCACCCACAGAAGGACAAGGCGGAAACAGTATGCCCCTTCGGCTTTGCCGCGGGGCATAAACAATTTTCAGTCTTATTTCTACATTTAGAATTCAAAATCGCTTGTAATTTGATACCATTATGACGTCAGAGTAATATGCATACCGGTACCTTTGGATCAGGGATGATGTTGGTTAAAAGTTACAAGTTAATACCGTAAACCAGAGTTGTAACGAGTCACTGATTTTTGTGATTCGAGTCGAGTCGAGTCATTTTAAAGAAGTGACTCAAGTTGAGTCGGGTCATTTTAAAGAAGTGACTCGTGTCGAGTCGAGTCATTAGGTCAAGAAGGTCGAGTTGAGTCGAGTCGAGTAGAGTCAAATATATAGCTCGAGTCAATTTGAGTCACGAATATTTGAACACTATACAATGAATAGGAAAGTGTGTTTAAAGGGAAGATACAACATTTGCAAACATCAAAAAACGAAATGATCAAAATATCTTACTGAATAGTTTGGGATTGACAGTCGAAAGCATCCTGTAAAATTGTGGCTCCTGGTGTTCTGACATTTTCAAGAAAACGTGCATTTTTCCAACGCTGGTCGGCCGACCAGCATTGGAGAAAACTGACTTTTTTTCAAAAAGTGCTCCTAATTGTTCATATTAAGTTATTCTGCATTTTCTTTGCAATTGATTACACACCTGTAAGGGGTACAAGTCTTCTAGACTGATTCTCTGACCTTGCAATCCTCCAAAGTCTATAAATTGCTCCGTTTCATCTTACCTGGGTCAGGGAACCAGACTTCAAAAACATGGTTGCTTTTCTTGGATTTTCCAGCATCTCCGAACCCAAAACGTGAAGCAAGTCAGTTTAACAATATTTGCTGTAACATACTTATCCTCCAAATCCATTTATTTCTGAAAATTGCAGCAAAAGCAAATGTTGTACATTCCCTTTAAAGTCCAGTTCCTGGATGGCATTTTGTGAGTTCTAGAACAATGAGATGGGAGTCTGTGACACGTATGTTTGTACATGACAAGCGGCTGCTGCATTGCAAATACTTTTTGCAATGTTTTGCTTTCATTTTTGGGACTCGAGTCTTATTAGCCTTCGCTCGAGTTGAGTCAAGTCTTTTGAAGAGGGACTCAAGTCGAGTCGAGTCATTTGCTCGCAGTGACTGGAGTCAAGTCAAGTCATTAACCCTTAGGGACTCGAATCAAATCGAGTCACCAAAAACCGTGACTCGAGTCGGATCACGATCATTACAACTCTGATGTAAACCATTGAGAAGAAATACTGTAAAGAAAGAAAAAAAGAAAGAAAAAAAGAAACAAGCAAAAAACAAAGCAGATTTATCAGAACAACTCTAATCAGTGCCCGACCACTCAACTAGAACAACTCTTCCCGATCACTCAAAAATAGGAATGTGGTGAATATAAATAAGTACATTGCGGGGAATAAGTGTCCAGAAGGAGCGAGAAAACTCTGTTTTAAACCAGGTACCGTAATTTTTGGAATATAAGCTGCGCGGCGTATAAGCCGCAGCACACAAAAAATCTGCAAATTAAGATTTGAAGTCAGCGTATAAGCCGGACCGGCGTATAAGCCGCACCAACGCAGCGGTTTCAATTTTGTACTTTTCAATTTACACTAAGAAAGCTATAACTAGAACGGCGAAGCCGCCATGGCTCGCTGTCGAAGGCGGGAAGGGAGGCTGAAGGTAGGGTTGGGGATGGGCATGATGGAAGGGGATCAGGATTCTCGTTGATGTGCCAGGGTGTAGGGGTCAGTTTTAAATGTCAACATAAAAAGTCAACAGATGACCTAATAAATACATGTGTATATAGGTTAGCCGTCACTGCATTATGGGGAAGTTTTCCATTGCTAGGGTAATTAGGACCCAGTTGTGGAGCATTTTTGCAGCCCCCACAGTGTCTTCAGGTCCCCATACTTGTATTACCATGGGAGAACTCTTGTGTAGTCCCCACAAATGCAGAACAACAATGGGTATACATGTACATGTAGACACAGCACCATCACCACATGCCCCAAACCTTAACCCATCCCCGACCCGCCCCCCCTCCCCGACCCCTACCCACACCCATCCCATCCTCCCCCTACCCATCCCAACCCCACCCAAACTCCAATCCTTATCTCCTTCCCCCACCCTCCCCTACCCCCTACACCCACTTACCTTATCCTCCCCTATCCCTCCTTACCCACCCCTACACATCCCCATCCTAACACCTACTCAAATCCCTATATCCAGCCTACCCCATTCCCCTACCGAGCCATACATCCCCACCCGACCCCAACTCCCTATATACTGCCCCCTCCCCTTACCCAACCCCTACACCCACCTACCCATCCCCAACCACCCCTACACATCCCCACCCCAACCCCTTCTCAAATCCCTATTTCCCTCCCCCTCCCCGACCCCCCCCCCAACCCCCTCCTACCTGTCTCCCCCTACCTGTCCCCACCCCACCCCTACATTTGTACACATCCCCACCCCACCCAAACGTAGTATTCCAACCCCTATCCCCAACCAACCCAACCCACCCCACCCCACCCTAGCTCCCCTACCCATCCCCCAACCCAACCCCCAACTCCAACCCCTATCCCCCACCCAACCCCATCCTCCCCTACCCCATCCCTACTCCAACCCCATAAAACCAAAAGATCAAACCAGAAGTACATGCACATCCCCAAAATGCATAGTGTAAATGTTATACCGGTATACATACATGTACATGTACATGTACATGTAACAATTAAAAACTTTAACATTTCCTTGAATTAAAAATCCTCAATAAAATAATAAAATTTACTGCAATGAAACTTAACTGAAGTTATATACCGTAATTTCCTGCGGATAAGGCGCGCGGCGGATAAGGCGCAGGTCCCTAAAATCACCCCAAAAAAATTCAAACGCCAACAGATAAGGCGCACCGCCGCATAAGACGCATGTTTGACCGCACACAGAAGAACACCAGGCGTCACCCGGTGTCGGTACATCGCCACAAAGGGGCCATTGTGTTGCCTTAGAACGATCACACTATTCGGAGGATGAATTATTAAACCGTAACCACATTGGCTGGTCACATGTAGAGCCATGTAGAAAAGACCAATGTAAATTGATACCGACCTTCATCCATTCAGCCAACGCGCGCTGTGCATGCTTGCTTGCGGTTTCCGATCCTTGCCTTCCTTGGCCTTTTGTTAATGCAGTGCGGCCCAATCAGCGGCCAGAAACGATGGTCCACGCGCTGTCTGAAGATATTGCAACACGCACGCTGGATCAGATTCGTAGACTTGCCCAGTCCCTCCGAGCCAGATGTTGCGCCCTCTACCGGTGACTAACGGCCACAAAGAAAAACGTTTGTATGACGGCATTGTTGGAACGAAAGCACGATCACTATTAAAAGGGGGATCAACGCATTGCGGCATTGTTCGAATGAAAGCACGATCATGGGGGATCAACACATCGCGGCATTGTTGGAATGAAAATACGGTCACAATGTCTGGAGAGTTGAGCCTTGGTTGACCGCATTATTGATTGCGGCATTGAAAGAATTCTTCACACAAAGACCGTCACTTTGAACTCAAGTGACACCAGATAAGGCGCACCTGTAGATAAGGCGCAGCGATGTTTTTGTGGTCTAGAAAGTCAGATAAGACGCGTCTTATCCGCAGGAAATTACGGTATGTTATATAAGATGATACATGTAAACTGCAGTTATTTTTTTTCCCCAAGTTAGCTAGAACCAAAAACTTCAACATTTTTTTCTGAACGCGGACGGCCGGACAGACAGACGGACGCCGTAGGCGATGACAATAACCCTCGAGCCTCTCGGCTTAGGGGTAACAAACTAAATTCCCCAAAATGTTCCAGTTTAGTAACAAATTACATTTACTGGTCCATTTTTATTACATTACTGGTCGCTTCATTTATTACATTACTGGCAGAAATTATTACATTGTACATTACTGGTCGATATTGGTCAATTATTACTTTACTGGTCGTAACACATGTTCTATGTGCGTCATGTGTAAAAGAAGTGCCTGTACATGTATGTCACACATTTGTCATACCGGTACATTTGGGTTGGTCAGGCACAGCTGTGTTTGGTCAAACAGCGAGGGCCGGCTTAAAAATCCGTCTATTCAAACCAACTTTACAAATTTGGCGTGTCCTTGCAACAGAGTGGTATCTCCTAAAATGGCATTTACGCGAAACACGACTTTTATAATGTCCAAAAAGTCATATCTTGCTTAAAATAACCGGGATATACACACAGTCAATGGATGTGGAGGTCAAAGTTGCATTCATGCGAGATAGACTTTGTTGCAGAATCGAGTTATAATCTTGTTCCACTGACGCAATGAATTGGAGATGTACAATGTACAAGTATCTTAATGAAACATGATACCAAGGTTGTTGGTTGGACAACAGTTATTGGCTTTTACTGTTTACCCTTTGTGTCACATAAAATGGCATCTTTTTCTGGCAATGTACTGGCATTAAACATTCCTTTTTTTGCCAGTGATAGCTTCATGAACACATAATATTCTAGGCAAAGGAAGGCAAAGTGTGAAAATTATATGGGTTCTTTTCGAGTTGTTGTGAACAATACTTGCTTTACAAGTCGTAACCATTCTTTCCAAAAAATCTCTACAAAACTAAAAGCAAAACTGTATGGCTGTGCACTTGATCAATGGCAGATCAAAAGATGATAAAGTTAGAGCAGAACAAAATTGATTCACCTCACATTTTAATACATCAGCTCTTGTGTTTAGTTTCATGAACCATACCATATTTTTTCCAAGTATATCATCATTGAAATGAACCTAGTATACATGTTCTCAGTACTACATTTATTACCTTGATGTCGTTTATGAAAGTTCCATTTGTACTTTTATCAAGTAGATACACGACTTGTGTGTCATGATGGCACTCTATCCACAATTCAGCATGTTGTCTTGAGATTAGTTTTTTATTGACTGATGAGTTCAGGTAGATGTCAACTGCAGATAGATGACGACCAATCAGCATCTTGTTTTCTTGCAATCTGCATTTTAGAAAGTACAGGTAAATACACAATAGAATCATTTGAAAATCAGTTCAAGGAAGTCATACATAAGGGGCCATTCAGAATTTTCAATGTTTTAAAATTTCGACTTTTTTCCCAAATTATTTTGACCCACCCACCCACCCCTAATTTCAATTAATAAAAAACTGAACATGTACATGTACATGCACTTGCATGTACATATACTTGAACATGAACATGTATACCCATGTACATGTGTGTCTAGTTCAGTGACGGCCTGAAGTTGTCGGTCTTCCTCTTTTGCACTGTAGCGTTTTCAGATTATCAATTCTTAATTATCAATTCGTCTTAATTTTTAGTTAATTATCACACTTTAAGAGAACATTTTGGGATAGAAGGGGTCTTCACAATGTATCCCTTCTGTAAGGTTGTTGTAGTAAGTTAGGACCAAAACTCAAGTACATTTTTGTTCATTGCAAGTGCCCCTATAACCTGCAGTTTTTCTTTCTAAATTTATTCTTTGTTGGGGTCCAGTAAACTTATGTGTTACCATGGTAACAGACTGACACTTGCGCATCCTGCCTTTTCCAAACTGAGTGTTCATTGGAAAAACTCTGTGAAGTTGGCAAATAAAAAGTAATGGTACACTAAATATATTATAAAGCTAAGTCCTTGCTGTTTATAAACGGTGGTGGTTTTCGTAAATCACTGCCGGGTAAAATGGCGTGATCAAAAATGTGCTCGGTAACAGACTGACATCGGTGGTAACAGACTGACATGCTCTGAGTTCATGTGCAACATGCACAGCAAACCTACATGTATGACCTCTTTGTCATGTTCTTTTCCTGTTTAAACTGAGGCTATAGGTGTCTGTAACCCTTGTGTAAGTACAGGTGTGATTTTGGACCAAAAATTCAAATTTTGGGCCAAAATCAAGAAAAATGATGATTTTGGCCCAAAAAGTTGATATAGCACCCTCTAGTGTTGCCGTAGGATGGCGAAGGTTGTTTGAATGCTTCTATATTGACTCAAACAATATTTGTACCAAATTTGAAAGCATTTGAATGCAAAATGTACAAATTATGCCAAAAATACTCGTTTTTTGACCAAAAAATGCAAAAACATAAAAAAGGAAAGCACCCTCTTGTGGTGGCAGTAGCACAACCAAATGAGTTCCAATGATTAAGTACCTACCAACCACCATTCTTGCCAAATTTCAAGAAAATAGGCCAAAGCACATGGCTGAAGTAGTGGTCAGAATACCTTCACCTGGGCCATTGATTTAGCTATGCACTTTACCCACAATGCCTTGCATCTAGAGCCATAGACTTGTACATGTGTTAGTCTGTTACCGTCAGTCTGTTACCACAGGCGTCAGTCTGTTACCATGGTTTATTTCAATGATAACAAAATGGTACATGAATTTTCTTTGTCAGTTTTGTTCATAGCTGGATGACTACAGAGAATCCAAAAAAGAAAGTTATTCTAACTAATATAAAAGACTAAAAAAATATTTTTTAGATATTTCAGTAACAGACTGACACTTAGTTTTGGTAAAATTTAAAAGCGGCAGGATTTTGGGTAAAATGCAAAACAAATTCAATGTTGTAATTCTAGGCAATAAACGCGGCTTTTTGCTTAAAAAATACAAAATTCAAGAAAATTTGTCAAAATATACTTAATTGGCAAAATATACCTAAAATTGCAATTTATTAAAATTTTGCTTTTTAACCAATAAGTGCTTTTTCCACCCATTTTCATGTCAATTTTGCATTTAATGTAAAATTGAGTGATTTTTGTGTATTCTGTACCTTATCAGCTTCAAAATGGTAGCCAACATGACCATTTATTATGAAAAACAATTTACGACCCTCATCAGGATGACATTTTCACGGAATTGCCCAAAGACACAGTACGACTGACCGTCTAGCTCGAAACAGTCAGTAGCAACAACTTGCCACGGCACTGTGGGTAGGTGATGCGTCATGCACGTCATGCACTGATGCACTTTTTCCTCTGTCTTTTCCATCAACTGGAGATGTAGCGAAGTGGCTTCGCTGCTTCTACAGATATCGAGGGCTTTGGTAAGTTTTGACTCTCTGAGCAGTTTTGCTCGTGTTGGATTGTCTTTGATGCCAATCACTAGCCGATCTCGCAGCATTTTGTCTTGGAGAGCACCAAATTTGCATGTTGATGCTAATTTGCGTAAACGATTGAGATACTGTTCAATGTTCTCGTTTGCGTCTTGAGTGGCCGAGTTGAACGCATAACGTTCATAGATTATGTTTCTCTTAGGCTCAAAATGCTCACCGAGTTTCTCGGGATTGTTTTAGAGTTTTGTTTCTCTTCCCCGGTCAAAGGCAGGTTCTCGTATACTTGGTAACATTCTTTACCCATCACTGAAAGCAGGGTAGCAACTCGAATGGTGTCTGGTTTTCCTGTCGGTTCAATAGCTATTTCATAGTTCTGCCAACTATTTCTGAAATACTGCCAGTTGCTGACTATATCGCCTTTCACATCCATCTTTGATGGAGCCGGAATCAGCGACTGTGCCAGTATGACAACACAGAATCACGATTGTCCTATGCGTATAGAAGTATGGCCGTACGTGGCAAGTACCGGCCACCGTAGATGACTGTCCGTGCGTGGCGAAAACTACGCGGTGAATACGGTCAACTTTTAGCGTTCCCAGCGACTGCCTACATGAGTCACAGAGCAAAACAGTTGATCCTAGCGATGCTATAGTCAAAGTCAGACACAGTTTGTTACGTTTGGTGAGCTTTTTTCACGGGTGAGCAGGGTTTTCAGGCCATCTTCTGACACCATGTTTAACGTGTGGACTGACACAAGCATGTAACAGTAACGAACAGTGCTGCTTTACTGTATGCTCTAGAACGCATGGAACACAGGGATGGCTGGGCTAAAACTACGGTGCACTATAATTGCCATGTGATCTGTCTAATGCCATAACACATGCCTTTCAAAAATAGGGGCAGTCGGTCGGAAAATGTTTTTTTTTGCCAATTTTTTTATGCAGATTGAATGGGGTATTCAATTATATGCGAAGTTTCAGCATGAACTATTTCCATTGCACTACGAAAGCTATACACAAAAATGGCGACAAAAAGTGAATAAAACCTACCTTATTATTGTCAATATATTTACGTTCGATTCTTAAAAAAATAATGGAAGATTCAGGTCGTTCGCACCATATGCACAAGGCTAGTCAAGACGGGAAGCTGGCCAAAACTCCGAATTGTGTGATGCACTGTGTATGTGTGGCACACGGCCGACAGACCACGCTGCATGTTTCACTCCAAATACGAGTAGTGTGATCTCAAAATGAACTCTTGAACACGGAAAATACATACACAGACAAGCTAGATCAATTCTGTGAATTAACTTGCAAAAATGTTCTTTCTCCATCGGTGTTTTCTTGGCATTTTTACGTTGTCGAATCCGACCAGTAGACAGTGCACCGGCCTGCAATGCATAGCCATGCTAGCGCTATCGATCGCATGGCCTAGCCATGCACAGACTGGTTACCGCATTTTCATCATGTCTTCTAAATTGGCCCATGCGCGGCGCAGTGGGAACCAGTCACCACTGCATTGAACTAGGTTTAGGTACGTGATTCGATTATAGTCACCGTGACATCGAATTGCCAAGTAGTTATATCGCGAAACAAATTTGCAAAAATAACGGGAGGTTTCTTTTGAAAAAAATAGCGAATGTAAGTAAGAAAAACAAATAAATACAAGCATTTTTTGACAAAAAAGGGTTGTTGAGAGGCATTTTGTGAAGACAGAAAAGACAACAAGATTTTATTTTTATTTATTCAATCATTATTATTATTTTGGGGGGATGAATTGCCGATAAAATTTTTAGGGTCGCAGCCTAAAAATAGGGTCGGTCGGGTAACCGGAAGCAGAAGTCTTTTTTTTGGCCTTAGGTTCCAGGTTGCAGTGGAATCAATAAAAAAAAGACTCCCGAGTACTTGGGTCGAGTACCGAGTCCAAACCAACAAGTCCGTGCCAAAATTTGAGTACAAAGAATTGAGTACGGGCCGAGTCCAAATAATTTTCGAGTATTGATAGTCGAGTATGGGCAAAATACTTGAGTGTACTCAAGTTGTACTCGAGTATGAGTACGAGTACGGGTACTCCAACACTGGTCAGAACGTTTAAAATCTGACATCTTGGAAATTGTCTCTGTTGATTGGGATGATCAGAATAACAATATTATTGGGATCTACATTTAATAGGTAAACTTGTATAAAATGTATGTAAATATGTACATATACTTCGTAATGATTCTACCATTAGGCTATTGAAAATAATCTTGAAATTATGAAAAGTGTATTGGCATTGAAAAAAAAAGGAAAAGAAAGAAAATATGTTTGAAAAGCTCAAGGAGATATATTTTCCTAAAGCCAAGAAGTCTAAGTTATAAAAGAAAAATGTTAACATCGAGTTACATGGCCCGGACAGCACAGATTTTCCATGAAGCATCCACTACGCCAAAACTGCACGCTTTGGAATTCCCTTGTTGTCGCCACAAATAAAGAGATTTCGCTTTGTTAATCGGTATGTTGGATGATCCTAAGCCAACAATATAAGTTTTGTTGAGGAAAAAAGTGGTTGCTTCACTTGGTTGCAAAGCCTTATCTGCGCAGAAATAGGAGGATCAAGGATACACAATTTCTAGTAGTAGTTCTCCATAGGATTGTGTACAAACATGGATGTGCCCAGCAAGCATCACTTTGTACATGAGTTAGCCATCTAGTAATTTAATATGGTAAACATGTAGCTCTATGTGGTGTACGCAGTGCCTGCATTCCCCCCCCCCCCCCCCCCCCCCAGGTTGGACGACGTCTTCATTGCATTACAACTGACATCCAGGGTATTAATTCTACTACCAAAGCGAAAAAAATTACAATACATGTACATTTTTTTCATATTTTTACCTGATGGAGGAAGGTGAAGATTTGTTTACATATTCCTTGTGTCAAGAATCGT